CGTTACTGGCCACCCTTACCTCTCTTCATCAGTGAGGTGTTGTTTCCCCTCAGAAAAACATTTAATTCATTTATACGCTGCCGTTTTCTTCATGGCATTATCCCCTAAACTTGGACTAACATGTTCCTGATTTCACTTTCATCCTTGCCAAGTTTAACAAGAAATTTAATGTTTGTTCATTGCTCTAATTCAAGCTCAGACATTCTCTCAATGGCACACAAAAACACACAACAATACACATCATTCAGCAAGACACTGCCATATGTTCACATGAACACAGCTGTGAGACACTGATATACCAAGGTTATGAAACCTTACTGAGCTGTTTGTACAGTGCTGCCAATGGAAGCTCACAGTGGCAAGTTCACGAACATAATTATCAACCCTCATATTCAAATAGTGTAAAGTACTTTCAAGAAAAAAAAAAACCTGCACTCTACTAAGACCAGAAGACACGGCAGTCCTACCTAATATATAGAAACAAACACAGGGAGGCAGCCAAAATGGGGCGACAAAGAAATGTGTCCCAAATAAAAGAACAGAACAAAGCTCCAGAAAAAGAAGTAAGCAAAATGGAGATAAGCAATCTATCAGATGCAGAGTTCCAAGCACTGGTTATAAGCCTGCTCATTGATCTCTGGAAGAATTTCAACAGAGAGCTGAAAACCATAGAAAAGAACCAGTCAGGGGTAGTCGAGTGGCACATTGGTTAAGAGTTGGCTTGGGACGCCAGCTCTGAGCAGCAGGGCCCCAGTTCAGATCCCACATAAGGGAGGGCCAGTGATGCTGCGTCCTCTACAGCTAAGATGGTGAACAACAGCTTGACCTGGAGCTGGGCTGCCGTGAGTCACAGCGACGGCATAGGCTGCAGTGGGGCTGGCTGGCAGCTGGCATGTGCTTTTGTGAGCTGCCGGGAGCCCCTGTGAGTGACTGTCCAATTGCCGGTGAGCGACTACTTCACCCGGGAAGAGCACAATGATCACAATACCAACATGGGCCAGTGAAGCGAAGTCCTCCACAACTAGACTGAAGAACAAAAGGACAGCAACTTGTCTGTTCCCATTCCCCAATTCCCCAACGCTGTTCCCCTCTCCCAATTCACCAATAAAGTCTTTAAAAAAAAACCAGTCAGAAATAAAGACACAATAATGGAAATGTAGAATATATTACAGGGAATCAACAGTAGACTAGATGAAGCAGAGGATCCAACCAGCAATGTGAAAGATAAGGTAGCAGAAAACACCCAATCCGAACAGCAAAAAGAAAAAAGAATCCAAAAAACTGTGAAGAGTTTAAGGGGCCTCTAGAACAATATCAAGCATACCAACATTCGCATTATTGGGGTACCAGAAGGAGAAGAGAGTGAGCAAGGAATTGAAAAGCTACTTGAAGAAATAATGGCAGAAAACTTTCCTAACCTGGTGAAGGAAATAGACATTCAAGCCCAAGAAGCGTGGAGAGTCCCAAACAAGATAAACCCAAAGAGGCCCACAACAAGACACACCGTATATAATTAAAATGCCAAAGATTAAATTCAAAGAAAGAATCTTAAAAGCAGCAAGAGAAAAGCAGTTAGTTACCTACAAGCGAGCCCCCATAAGACTGTCAGCTGATTTCTCAACAAGCTTTTCAGGCAAGAAGGGAGTGGCAGGAAATACTCCAAGTGATGAAAAGCAAGGATATACAACCAAGATTGCTCTACCAGCAAGGCTGTCATCTAGAACTGAAGGACAAATAAGGAGCTTCCCAGACAAGAAAAAGCTTAAGTTCATCACCACCAAACAAGTATTACGAGGAATCTTAGAGGGACTTCTTTAAGATGGGAGGGGGATACAGGATGGGTGAAAGGGGAAGGGATTAAGAAGTACAAATTGGTTGTTACACAGTAGTCATGGAGATGTAAGGTATAGCATAAGGAATATAATCAGTAATGCTGTAATAACTAGGTATGGTGCCAGATAGGTACTAGATCTATCAGGGTGAAAGATGGGAATGGGGTTGGGGTGCAGGGTGAAAGAGGTGAAGGAATTAAGAGATATAAATTGGTAGATAATACAGTATGGGGAATATAATCAACAATGTTGTAAAGATTATGGTGGGTGCCAAATAGTCACTAGACTTACCCGGGGGATCACATTATAGACTGTAAAGATGCCTGACCAATGCGCTATATACACCTAAAGCTGAAGTAGAATAACACTGAATGTCAACTATAACTAAATATATAGGTATATATAGTCACAGGATGTGGAGCACAACATAGGGAAGATAGTCGATGGAATTGTAACAGCTATATAAGGTGTCAGAGGGGTAGTAGCTTGCGGGTTGGGTTATCACTTTATGAGGGGTTTAAATGTCTAACTAGTACATTGCTTTGTACACCTGAAACTAATAAAAATAAATAAATCTTTAAAATAAAATAAAATAAAAGCTGTATGATGTGATTCAGAGTGATGGGCGGTCACCCTGCTTGTATTCTGTTTCAGATTGAGTAATCAGAGAAGACCTCCTAGAGAGGTTGATATTTGAAGTGAGAACAGATTATCAAGAAAAATCCCAGTGCAAAGTTCTCAAGGCAAAGCATTTCAGCCAAAGTGTTAAGTGCAAAGTCCCTGAGACAAGTATAAATTAGTGTTTTCCTGTGATGAAAAAACAAAACAAAACAAAAAAAGCCAGTATTTCAAGACAGTGAAAGAAAGATTGTTAGGAAATGAAGTTAGAAAGATAGTCAAGCATTGGATTATTTACGTCCTTCCAAGGCAGAGAAATATCCCAAGGAGTGTTCAGCAGGCAATAAAGGGGTGGTGAATTGTCTGCAGAGAATTAAAACTATAATAAAATTTATAAAAAGCCAGTCTGCTTTTTATTATCATCAGGTGCCAGCAATACTAAACAATGCCAACGATAAAACACTCCTTTAAAATGTCTCTCACTGGCCAAAGGTTTAAACAATCATTGTGATTACTGTTAAATTTTAAAGCTATTTATCTCCACAGGAATTTCATGTTATCCATGGTAGTTACCTTCTATATAAAGTCACAGAGAACACTGAATAAATATTGCTTTTAGGGTAAATACAAGGCTAGTTTCCTGTGAGCATCTGGTCACAGCGTATTAATATATGAACTTGCTTAATATATGTTTCTGTTTAAAGACACCGTAGTTATATATCGTTGATTCATCACCACCGTACTCAGGGCCAACTGTACTATAACTAGCGCCTGAATTACGTTAGTAAAACTTTTCTGGCAGCCTGGATGAGGGGGAGAAAGTCACTTATTTACTCTCCACTGCCCTCTCTTACATTCTGATATGTGTTAGTGAGAAATGCAGAACCTTCCAAACCTCTGCACTAAGAGGCGTGTTGACAAACTCTAGCATGGCATCTATAGCAGTTGAAGGTCATGCCCCCTATGATGACCCCAGCCCAGTTAAAACGCCTGCCTGAGAACGCTCAATGCTTCCAGGAGAATTTACTGTTTGTTCCAGTCAAAACTGGTGATAGACAGATATGCCCCTGAATCCCCTCTTAGACAGTTACTTTAGAAAGCCTGAAATTATCAATCCTTTCTCTGCCCTTTGAGATGTAAATCTACCACCCAAAACTGTTTCTCCAAGGACCTGAGAGCCATCTCTTTGAATGCAAACATTCAGGGAGTTAGGGAGATACCTCTTGCTCTCCCAGTTCATGTAGGAGGATAAGGGGCTGTAACTTCAGTAGGAGCTTCACCCAGTTTCAACAAGCACCACTGCCCTGTGTCATAGGATAGTTTGTTTCTCTTCTGCATAAGCATCAATTAACAAATCCTCATGGCCTTGTCACATGAATTAATTCCCAACACCCCTCTTAAGGTGGCACAGTGCCTTTTCCTGAGCACACCCCAGCTGTTAAAAAAGCCTTTAGTCTTTTGTTTTGAGGACGCTGAGTTCAGTTCATGTTGGGTCCTCCTCTCTGTTGTAATAGTATTACTGAGGGACACCCGTCCCCATTGCTTCAATGTCAAATTGTCTCCTTCATTCTGTTCACTTCAAAGTCTTGTAAATGGGCCGGATAGCTCTCTAGTTTCCAGCAAGGATAAGTGTTTTACGTATCTCCTTAATTTGGGCTTTACTATGGCAATTGGAAAAGAGACAGAAAAAAATCAAACATTTAACATAATATTTCAGTCCCAGAATTCTTTATAAGTGCTAACTTGCAATATAAGTAGACGGAATGGTGAAAGAGGCAATTTCTAAAAAAAAACAGAAAAGATCATGAATTTTGCAGCAAGAGTAAATTTTAATTTGATTTCTTGCTTCAATATTTGTATTAGTTTCTTAAAAGTGAACAAGGGACTAAAATTTCTGTGTCTTATCTTCTTCATTTAAAAGTAGGAAAAATCATACCTACCACAGGGACTTGTTAGAAAATTAAGATTGCATGAGAAAACATGTGAATGGGGTAGTACCTAGCTCATGGTAATTGTTTAATAACTAATTACTACTTTGTAATATTAATATCTAACAAATCCCCCAAAAGATTTGTTTCCTCTCTGTGTTGTTACAGCAATGTACCTCTGTATGGCATTCTTCATATACCTATCAGTAGGTTTTTACTCTGTGAGACAATGAGATCCTTCACATTTAAACTTGTATCCTCAGCTCCTGCCAGTAGAAAACATGAGCATTTGACAAATGTCTAGCAAATGAGGGAATACATGAATAATTGAATGCATGTATAGTTATAGCAAAGTAATGGTAAACTTAAGGTCCCCAAATTTTTTAAGCTTACACGGGCCAAGTCAACTAACAATGTCAAATTCAGTCGTAAAATCATGAAAGCAGCATAACACATTAGCATTTTCTTATGTCTTATATTTGGTCTGAAACAAAGACCTTTCTGTTGTGCTGCCTTATAATTTTCTTAAGAGTCACCCTTCTCAGAAACAGCACCTAGAGGTGCAAATGGGAACTTCACACAGCGTAGTTTCCATTTCCTGCTGTTGGATAACTGGTCGGACTGCTTAAGCTCCATTTGTTACAGCTCAGGGAAGGCCTATCCCACATGATCTGACTCACAGATCCTCTTTCGTTCACTGGGAGCTGTCTTAGAAGAGAGGAAAGAGCTCTCAAATGCTCTGTCGACTCGGGAACTCAATAGAACAATGGAATATCATCCTGACTTAGAAAATTTGGATGAAGATGGATATACTCAATTAGACTTCAGCTCCCGAAGTGTCCCCAGGAGACCTGTGATCTCAAAGAAAGGTATGTTTTCTTTATGCCCTCAACATTTTCATTCTCTTCAACTAAAACACTTAAGTGGAGAAAACTTGAGAGGGCTGTGATTTGTAGGGAATTTATTGCTACATTTTAAAAGTTTTTCAGAAGTCACTGAAGATCACTTGAATGTACACTAAGACTTTTTTCATGGCAACCATTCAGTGACTAATTAATAGTATTTAAATTAATTATGATGGTGATAAAAAATACAATGTCTGTTCTATAGAGATAGAAACTTCAGTAGCGAGGAGCTGGTGATACATATGATGAACTGCAAAGATGAAAGAATTTCAATAGGAGTGACTTATTGCTTGTTTGATAGAGAGGAGTAAATTGTAGAATAGCAGTCAAGGAAACTTAAAGGTTTCATATTAACAATGTCAGCATGCTGGAGATAAGAAAGAGAAGAATGAAAAATGGAAGATAGGTGACGGTAAAAACAAACCTGTGATTTTGGAGTAAAACCCAAAGGGAAGTCAGAAGTCATAGGATTTATAATCCTGAATGTGAGCTGTATATTGTGGTAAGAGCTTGATTTGGATTTTTTAAAACAAAAGGGAATTCTTCATATACCAGTGAAGAAAAATATGTGCTTTAGATGGAAAGAATCTATTAGCAGGACATGAGTCTTAAACAAAATGTAAAAGTGAAATATGGAGAAGGATGTTATAAGATTTCTCTCTTCATAGAATGAGCCATTAAGTCTCCTTTATGATTCTCCTATTTGACAACCCTGAAATTCTCTTATGGCTCATTCTCAGTCAGAGGCAAAACTATGTTCTTGGTGTGGTGATGTTAAAACAAAAGGAGTCCCCTGTTATCAAGAGAGAGATTATTCACAGGTTTTGGCATCAGAGTTTGCTGTCTTCTGCTTTCTGGTAGTCCACATTGCACAATTATTTTCCTCTCACCACTTATGCAATACTTTTCTTGGGCAACGGTTTGGGTGGAAAAACTGCATGATGCAAGAGGTAGGGAGGCATGTATGCGTTTATGCACATGTGTAGACAAACAGTGGGTTACCTATAATGTGCTAGTTGTCTCTAAACTCAGTGCTTTTACATGTGTTAGTTCATGTAATTCCCACAATAATCCTTTGAAGTACAGTAATACCTTGGTTTGCGAGCATAATTTGTTC